TGATTACAGATTATTCATTTTTTAAAAATATATTTTATTGATTTTTTACAGAGAGGAAGAGAGAGGGATAGAGAGTTAGAAATATCCATGAGAATCATCAATCAGCTGCCTCCTGCACACCCCTTACTGGGGATATGCCCACAACCAAGGTATATGCCCTTGACCGGAATCGAACCCGGGACCTTTCAGTCCGCAGGCCGACGCTCTATCCACTGAGTCAAACCAGTTTCGGCAGATTATTCACATTTTGAATCACACATCTAAAAAAGACTAAGTAACACCCAATGGTTATAGAATCATGACACTAAAATAATATATTCTGCATTATCATTCAAAGAATCATATCCATTTTACTTTTGGCAGGGACTTCAAAGAACCTCTAGACAGAGGAAGTGAGATCCAAAACTGCTGATGTACCCAAGATCATATAATCTGTATGTGACAAAACAGTGATAACTGATATAATTTTAAAAATTTCTCATTTGTAAACAACTGTTACTTTCAACAGGACAACCACATTGAAATGGTAACCACTTTAGAAGACATTTATGTCATCAAGAAAAGAAATTCATCAAGCACATACTAAAACTTTCCTTCATCCCAACCTCAAAATAATCTATGAGCCAACCTATTTTTATTTCATTCACTACCCTCCCCACCTTAAGTATCTCTACAAATATATTTTATTTTCAATAATCTTGAAACACCTTTTCCTGAAACTGCTTCTCTGTCAAGCTGTTTCTCTTTCCCTTCATAAAGAGTAGTCATCTCCTTGCCTTTCTACTGAAACAAAGGCCAACAATAACTTTTCATTTCCAAGAGAAGTGGTCCCGGGTCAGTCCCTATCGAACTTGACTTCTCTACATTTGATATTGTTCACATACTTAGTTTTTAACTTCCAGGATACTATTATTTCTGACTATTCTATTCATCCTTTACATATGTTATTGATTTCCCTTCCTTTGATCATCATTATTGATGTTTCTTACTATACAACTTGTTTAGGACATATTTTGTTAACTACCACACTATAATTCCAAAATTGATTTCTTAGGCTCCAAACTCGGATATACAAAAATACAACCATCTACTAAACCTCTTTATTGAAACATGAAAAGTAACTCAAACTCAACTTGTTTTGGCATTCTCTTCCTAAATGTACCACCTAATTCAGTTGACAGTGTCAATTACCCAGCTGTGTAAGCAAGATTTACCTTTCAAGTTCACCAAATACCAGAAAATATATCCTATCTAATAAAAGAGTAATATGCAAACTGACTAAATTTGGGAACTGAGCTAGACACACAGACCATGCCCACCAGCCAATCAGGTGCAAGTATGAAAATGAAGCCAACCAAGATGGCTGTGGCCATCGAGCGAGCAAGAGGTTTGGGTTCCCCAGGCAATGGAGTAACTGTACAATGAACCTGGTTTATAGGTCGGTCTGATTCTTAATTTTTAAAGGCATGCCCAATGGCTTACAATAGGTACTTCATATCTGCTCTAATATACAAAACCACCATTTTTTCAATTACCTAAAATTTTTTAACAGTCACTTTATCTCATTTCTATCAGCAATCTAGTTTTAAATCCTTGACCTTACTTGAAAACTCTTCACATTTCTTTCTTCCCTTTTTCTACTGCCATCACTAAGTTTGAATTATAAGTTTCCTAAATGATAACTCTCTTTAAACCCTACCCTGTTAGATTGACTTTTTTTTTTTACTAAACAACTTTCTTTCATCATTTTACCCTTTTACCTGAAAAATCTTTAATGGATCCCTAGTACTTATAAGGTAAACTAAAAACTTAGCCTTAGTTTTCAAAATTCTCCAAAATTCATTGCACCACTTACAATACTCGCTTCTTAAAGCAAAGCTCTCGTCGAAACCGGTTTGGCTCAGTGGCTAGAGCATCGTCCTGTGGACTGAAAGGTCCCGGGTTCCATTCTGGTCAAAGGCATGTATCTTGGTTGCGGGCACTTCCCCAGTAGGAGGTGTGCAGGAGGCAGCTGATCGATGTCTCTCTCTCTCATCGATATTTCTATCTCTCCCTCTCTCTCTTCCTCTCAGTGAAAAATCAATAAAATATATATTTTTTTAAAAAGCAAAGCTCTCTCTCTATTCCTAACAAGATGAATTCTCACCATTCCCAAAACAAACTTAATTTTTATATTTTCCAGTGTCCTCTAGACTGACCATATGATTCCTAAAGGTAACCTCAGTTTTTGAGATGAATTTATGTACCAAAGAAAAAAATCTCAATAAAAAGGAGTAAAGTCTCAAACAGAAAAAAAAAGTAAAGTAGAAAAATATCTCTGATTAGAAAAGGCAATTAATCCCTAGCTGGTTTGGCTCAGTGGATAGAGCATTAGCCTGTGTACTGAGGGGTCCCAGGTTCAATTTCGGGCAAGAGCACACGTCTAAGTTGTGGGCTCAACGCCCGTAGGGGTCGTGCAGGAGACAGCCAATCCATGACTCTTTCTCATCATTGATGATATTCTCTCTCCCTCTCCCTTACTCTCTGAAATCAATAAAAATATTTTTTAAAAGGCAATTAAGAATTTTACATTACTGCCGAGACCGGTTTGGCTCAATGGAAAGAGCGTCGGCTTGGGGACTGAAAGGTCCCGGGTTCGATTCCGGTCAAGGGCATGTACCTTGGTTGCGGGCATATCCTCAGTAGGGGGTGTGCAAGAGGCGGCTGATCGATGACTCTCTCTCGACGTTTCTAGCTCTCTATCTCTCTCCCTTCCTCTCTGTACAAAATCAATAAAATATATTTTTAAAATAAAAAGAATTTTAGATTACTAATATTAATAAATAACTATAACATTCCATTGAATCCCAGTTTACAAAGTGTTTTTATTTTACGTAGATCTCAATTTTAAGTGACTTATCCAATGTCCCATTTAACTAAAATGATGAACAAAGTCTTTTAAGGACTCAAAATTTCAAGCCTACAACCCTCTCTGCCCTAACTACATAAGAAATACATGAATGTATTTACTGTTAAAATAGTAAAGTACCTGGATGTATAGACATTAACTATAGCATGTTATAGAAATCAAATTATCTGTTTAAAGAATAAAGGGCTATCTCTCCTGTGCTTAAATCCTTCAGTGCTTCCCACAGAATTCAGAGAAGTTCAAAGCTCTTCAGACAAAGAAAGCCTTTCAAAAGTTGACTCCTACTTACTGCTTAACCCAACCAAACAAATCTTTTCACCATGTTCCATTTATAAGAAAATATTTAAAAATAGTTTACCAATGACTGTGTAGGGACTCTGCCAACATTGACCACTGCTACATTTAAACAGAAGAGTACCAAACAAAATAGAGACATCAAGAGTTAAGACATACATGTCATGAATTTTGTCAGGACCACATTAAGTTTAAAGCTGCTTGTGAAATACAAGAGTTCTGCATCATAAAGGAGATTATTAGAATAAATCTTAAAATAAAACTTCTAATATTCCTTTTACCCTCAAGAATTAGATTGCTTGGCTCTGGCCAGTGTTGCTCAATAGTTAAGAGTGTCAGTCTGTGGCCGAAATCGGTTTGGCTCAGTGGTAGAGCGTTGGTCTGCAGACTGAAAGGTCCCAGGTTCAATTCTGGTCAAGGGCTTGTACATTGGTTGCGGGCACATCCCCGGTAAGGGGTGTGCAAGAGGCAGCTGGTCGATGTTTCTCTCTCATCGACGTTTCAAGCTATCTCTCTCCCTTCCTCCTCTCTGTAAAATATCAATAAAATATATTAAAAAAAAAAAAAAAAAAAAGAGTGTCAGTCTGTGCACAAAAGGATCTCGGGTTTAATTCCTGGTTAAGGGCATATACATGGGTTGCTGTGTGTGATTGTGGTGCATGAGGGAGGCAACCAAATCAATGTGTCTTAACACTGATGTGTCTCTCCCCCACTCCCCTCTTTCCCTTCTACTCTAAAAATCAGGAACAGACTGATGAATCTCAGAGGGAAAGGGGTAGAGATTAGCGGAAGAATTTATTTGCATAACCCATGAAAACAGGCAATACTGCAATGAAGGCATGGGAGGGGGGGCATGTGGCTCGAATGAGGTGCAGGGGGTTAATGGGGGGTGAGGAGGACATCTGTAATTCTTTCAACAATAAAGATAAATTTTTAAAAATTTATACTAATGAAAAACAGTAAAAAAAAAAAAATCAATGGGAAAAATATCCTCAGGTGAGAATTAACAAAAAATAAGGGGTAGGGAGGAGGTGAAGGAATTAGATTCCTTGGATTTGAGTTCTGGTTATACCTACTTCCTAACAATTTAACCTCCCTGGGTCTCATTTCTGCAACATGTAGGTAATATCTCATAGGACTGTGGTGCCAATTAAATGAGAATGTGAAGCACTATGTCAAAACATAGTAAGAATTCAAATATATTCTAATTTGTAACTGTCCAATGAATAACAGATTAGAATGGAAATGCTAATTTGGGGCTTATTCTCAAACTCTATTGTCCCTGACAACCTGCTGGAGGCTAAAATGGCTCATTCACCATAGAGAATACCAATTATTCTCCTGCACACTGGGGATCTCCAGGAAGTCAAGGAGTGGAAAAATCTGAATGTGATCCGATCTTTTGTTCACAGAGGTTGTCTTCAGACGCCTTGAATAAAGCTAGCCCACAGGAGGCGATCAGTATTTTTTGGAGAAATACTGGAATCAGTGGCAACACCTGGCCAAGTAACTGGGTGACTCATAGGACTGACCTAAAGATGACCTGAATTCTGATTTCAACTTCCACTGTTGGGCCATATTCCAAGAACTCCTATAAAAGCGAAGCAGTTGTAAATGGATGCTCCGTTGGAGGTACATGGTGCCCATGACCGTCCCAATACTGTTTTTAAAAGGGCACAGTGGAAGACAATGCATTAACACGTGTTACATCAAGAACGAACACTGGCATCTCTTCTGCCTTTCCTCTTCCAAAAATCTCTCCTGATGTCTCCCCTCCATCTGCAACATGGTAACTCACCTGTCTTTTCAGTTATATCTGAGTCAGGGCTGGCTGCCCTGCTAGCCTCCCCTTCAGCGTTCTCCTCCTCGGCACTGAGAGAAATGGGTGAAGAAGGGCCAGGCTGGGAGGGTGGAGGGGTTGCTTCGGGCGCTTCGTCAATCTTATTCCTTTTTTCAAAACGAAAACGGTCCAGGTTGAAAAGATTCATCCTGGCAGCAGCAGCCACCACCACCACCACCTTGTGGGATGGGGAATTTAAAATGAATTATCTACGGGAAACAGAAAAGAGAGGGGGGGGGGGGAAAAGGAGGCCATGAACACAATATACAACACAAAGCCGGAGCAGTTCCATTCCCAGGGCAAATCGGGAGACCGCAGAGGTGCCAGGGGCTCAGGAGGACGATTATGGCTGCGCCGCCTCATTGTTAGGCCACGGCGGGGAGAAGGTGGGCAGAGGTGGGCTTCTTTTTCTTTTTCTTACCCCCCCCCCACCACCCAACCTTTCCATTGCTCTTTTCACGCCCCTCCGTTCCCCACCCCCACCCCCGCACACCCCCTCCTTCCTCAAACCACAGGCTGACCCCCGTGCAACCTCTTACCCCAGCACGCGCGGGCACGTCCCCCGCCAACCCCCCTGCGGGCCGCGCGCCCGCCCACGGCGAGCGGCGCCTGCACGACGGCGCTGCCGGCCCGGGGAGAGGACGTGCCGGGGCCCGCGCCTCGGCTCCGCGGGGACACAAAGGGGCCGGCGGCGGGGAGCGGCGCAGGCCGCGCTGGCGGGCACCCGCCCGGAAGTTGACGCGGCGCGAGCCCAGCTGGGAGGAAGCGGATGGGACCGAGGCGGCGCGGGGCAGGTTCGGGGGTGCCTCCACATCTCCGGGGGGCGCTCCCTCGCCCGCTGGCGCTGTCTCTTGGCTCCTTTCTCTCTCTCTCTCTTTTTCCCTTTCTCTTTCTCCCTTCGGTACTTACAGTCTTGCAGGCTCGGTGCGATGTAACAAAGGTTAAAAAAAAAAAAAAAGAAAAAGAAAAAGAATAGTAATCGCTGGCGTGGGCGACGGGAGCCGGGCCGGGACTTTCCAAAATAGACCCGGAGGAAAGCCTGCGAGCGCGCAGTGATGACGCAACGCGCAGCCCGAGCTTTTTCTTCTCTCCGCGGCGAGGCCCGAGCGGAAAAGGGTCGGGCGCGCGTCGTTGTCATGGTAACCGGAGCCCGCCTCTCCCTCTGCCCGGGAGGAAGCTCCGTGGGCTGGTTTCTCCGGCGTGGCTGGAGGGTTGTTAAATGGAACAATAATAAACAGCACAATGACAATAAGTAGCCTTAGCAGTAACGAGTGGCACGGTGTTCGATGTGTTACAATCTGTGTTGTAGGTAGCATACAGATAGTATAGTAACAATGTTGTGCTAAGTGTTTCATGTGTATGGAACCCTTTAAAAAAATGCCTTTTTTTTTTTTTTTTTAACCAAGTAAGGAACCCGAGGCCTGCAGATGCTAAGTAGTTAATTCGTAACGAGTAAAAAAACCCGGGTATGTTGAGCTTCAAAGCATACACACTTGCTTCCTCACTGCTGACTGGATTGTTGTGAGAGTAGACTATGGCCATTCACTCACCTATCTTGGTGGAAATATTACCGGAAGGATATTTATTCCCATTGTTTTAACACTAGACTAAACAGGCACTTTTCTGAGTTGTAATTTGACTCTCTTGTTAAACAAGAAATCACTATACATCATTAATCGGCCAAATATATCGGTCGTTGTAAATTTAAGTTGGCATTCTGTTGCATAAATCAGTGTTTTGAATTGTAACACAAACCCAAGATTTATCAAATGTGGGCACACAATAAAACATATATCTGGATTCATAAAATTCAGTAACAAAGCCTGAGAAATTGGAATTTCACCATGGCAGGGTAGCTCAGTTGGTTGGAACATCCATCCATACACCAAAAAGTTGCAGATTTAATTCTGGTCTGGGCACATATTTGTAAAAAAAAAAAAAAAAAAAAAAAAATGCTTTCTTAACTCTGTTAAACAAGAACTTCTTTTTGTTTAATATATTCTTATTGATTTCAGAAAGGAAGGGAGGGAGAGAGAGATAAAAACATAAATGAAGAAAGAGAATCATTGATTGGCTGCCTGCTGCATGCCCCATACTGGGGATCCAGTCTGAAACTCATGAAAGTGCCAGGACCGGGAATCAAACCCTGACCTTCTAGTTCATAGGTAGATGCTCAACCACTAGCTACACCAGCAAGGCAACAAATGCTTCTTTAGTACAAATATGTCCCATGCAATATTTGAAACAACTTATACTGAAAAATTATTTGTTGTCTGTATGATATTTTAAGAAGGTGTCCTGTATTTTATTTGGCAAATTTACCGGCCCCCCATTGCTTAGTTACCTTTGGGCCTAGGGGCCTTTTACTACATGTTAGGTCTATGGATGCTAGAAGCACTGTTGGCCCTCAGCAAGAAGGACCTGGGGAAAAGTTGGTTATCCTTCTTGGAGCTATGTGAGCAGAAAATTTCAGAGCCCAGGTGCTCAAAACCACTGTGTAAAAGTTAAGGCACACTTTACAAAGGGACAAAAAAAAAAAAATAATCTGTCTAAAGTTATGAACTAAACTAAATGCCAGAGGTAATTATGCAACATCTACAAAGATCTGGAGGGGAATTATTGTGACTCTTTTTCTATATCACATAAATATTATTCATTTATGGAAGAAAAAATCAATTTCATGTTTTTAATTCCTGGAAAATATATTTTTATTAACATGTATCTAAAGACATAAATCCAAATAACAGGGTCAAAAAAATGAGGATTTCAAAAACAGAATTTATGGTATAAAAATATTCTGTTGATACTAAACACAGTTAGGACTAAACTCATACACCATATTAATAATTATAATATGGTATATGAGCTTTTTGTTGCATAGTTAACAACCACAAAAATTTTCAAAATATTTTTATTTATCTTTAGAGAGAGAGGAGGGAGAGGGAGAGAGAGAAGCATTGATGTGAGAAATTAACATATTAGCTGTTTCCTGCATGCTCACCACTGGGGATAGAGCCTGAAACTCAGGCATGTGCCCTGACTGGGAATTGAACCAACATGTTTTTGGTGCACAGAACAATGCCCAACTAACTGAGCCACACTAGCCAGGGCACACAACCACAAAACTTTAGTTGCTTAGAACAATATCTTGATTGGCTTGTGTGATTCAATTTCAAGCTATAATGCCTTTCTGCACATAGTTCATGCTCAGTAAGTATTTGTTGAGTGAATAAACGATTATAATAATTAGGTAAAATGCCTAAGCATACAGATAACCACAAAAGAATGTTTTAAAAAGCTGAGTATCTTCAGAATGATGCATGCCACGAAAGAACAACATAAACCCAAGTTTTAAAATTTCAGATGAGAAGTGACATGCTGGGGTCTTTCTGCAGTTGCAAGGGTTCACGAATCTGGAGGAGGGCCGTGTAAATTGAATAAAGAGACAAGACATGAAATATAAATTTGGGAGGCATGGGAGAGCCAGGGGAGTCCTTTCTAGTGAATGGACTCTCTGAATGTTGGGATCCACAGCTTTTTATTTGCTGGGAAACACATTGGCCCTTTAAGAATGCAAACAGGTAAAGTTTGATAAACAGGAAAAGATTATCAGGTTAAGGGAAATTCCTTCAGCTATTCCACCAGCAGCAGGTAAACAGGAAAATATCACGTTAGGGGAAATGCCTACAGCTCTTCTAGCAGTAGGCAATAATATATGCAGTTTTTCAGCCCTGCTGAAGCCCCAAGATCCATCAGCTTTCTGATGAACTTCTTGCATAATTATAACCTGCTGGAATTAGCCTCCAGAAGTGACATAATTCAAGAAAGAAAGAGAAATAAAAGAAAAAAAAATAATCTTAGAAATGAAAATTAACCTCGATGTAACATATAGATAAACATAACAGATAATACCTTAAGATAAGTAGAGTAAAAAGGGAAAAAAACTAAAATAAAAATAGAAAGGTAAATGGATTTAAAGAGAAAATAATGAATATTCAAGTTTAGCAAAGAAGATCCAACATAATTACAATAGGAGTTACTTAAACAAAAGCAAGTCACTGACCCATAAGGGTCAGAAAACTATATTATTATCATAGTTTTAACAGTTTTAACAGCAAGTCTTTATGACAGAAGAAAATGGGATAACTGTATTTAGGATGTAAATAAAATGTGATCCAGGGGTTTTATATTGAGCAAATGTGCCTTTCAAATACAAAAGCTCAGATAAGCCAAAACCAGTTTGGCTCAGTGGATAGAGCATCGGCCTGTGGACAGGTCAATTCAGGTCAAGGGCATGTACCTTGGTTGCAGGCACATCTCCAGTAGGGGGGGTGCAGGAGGCAGCTGATAGATGTTTCTCTCATCAATGTTTCTAGCTATCCCTCTCCCTTCCTCTCTGTAAAAAATCAATAAAATATAAATATTTTTAAAAAGGCTCAGATAAGCTATTAACATTATGCAAGAACTCTGAGGATGTTGTTCTCCCGAGCATCCCTGAAGAATCTCTTAAAGAATGGGTTTGCCAAAACCGGTTTGGCTCAATGGATAGAGCGTCTGCTTGGGGACTGAAGGGTCCCAGGTTTGATTCCGGTCAAGGGCATGTACCTTGGTTGCAGGCACATCACCAGTAGGAGGTGTGCAAGAGGCAGCTGATGATGACTCTCTCTCTCTCCCTCTCTGCACAAAATCAATAAAATAAAAAAATAAAAAAAAGAATGGGTTTCATAAAACCTGACAAACAATGATGTAAGGACAGATTGAGGATTAACTATATAGTTACGCTAGAAGCCCGATGCATGAGTTCGTGCACATTGAAAGGAAATTTATTAGAATAAATATTTTAATATTTAATATTTAATATCACTATTCGCCCTTTCTCTATAATAGAAGTGTCAACCAAATTCACGATTGACAATGACAGATGAAAACATATAATAGTATAGTAACAATGTTGTGCTAAGTGTTTCATGTGGTGCCAGTGAGAGCTTTATATCTATATATATAAAAGCCAACCAAACAACTGGTCATCCAAGTGATATGATGCATACTGACCACCAGGGGCAGACACTCAATGGAGAAGCTCCCCCTTGATGGTCAGTGTGCTCCCACAGCCAACCTCCCAGGGTCAGCCAACCTCTCTCGGCCCTTCCCCATAGTGGGCCAATCTCCCATGGCCTATTCCCCTGGCTGGCCAGCCCACACTCCACCCCTGATTGGCCTAATCGCTGGCCAAGCCGTGAGATCCCACCCATGCACAAATTCATGCACCAGGCCTCTAGTTTATAGATAAACTTGCTTAATTATATCTGCTTTCTGATTTAGCTAAATGTTTTCCAGCCCAGTGAAGCACCCCAACTTCTCTTCCCAGTAATTGTCAGCAACACAGCGGTAAATATTGACACAAAGCAGATTGTTAGTGTAGATCACGCAGGGAGAACAAAAGGTAAAATATTTAACTCTAACAGTGTTTGACCATATTTTGTGCAGTGAGAAAACCTGAAGTCATTTTCAAGGTCCAGCATTTCTTTTTTTCAGTCAGGTCAAGTTTCTAAACTTTCTAAATCTCTGTTTTCCAGCTAATGAAAATAAAATAAAATGTTACTGAGTCTCCTATCTACCTACTCCAGGACTTCTGTGAGGATCAAATGAGATGAGGCATGGGAAAACGCTTCACAGACATTTGGTTACAGTGTAAAATGTTTGCACCTGGCTATAAAGCAAGTTGTGTTCCTGGGCTGAAGAA